GTTATGAGAACACAAATTGCGGTAAGATTACTACTCACTGTACTCGTGCCGAAATTCCAAATGCTTCACCTTGAGCAATTCATACAACTTCCTCCAATTCAATCTATAATTACATAATACCGGTCTCATGTTAATTTCTATGTTTAGGCTAATTCATAGATAGTTTAGAATACCCAACCCTCGAGGTTCCATATTTGACTCTTAATTCGCCGAATTATACTTACCCACATATGAGTAATTACTAATCTATCAACTCCAACCTATTCATATAATTTACCAGAATAATTCTTATTGGTATTTAATTTCATATACCTTGTGAAACCCTTCAAATATATGAACTGAGATAAAAAGAATTACCAGAAGAAAAGAACCCAGATGAGAAATTCGAGTATTACCTGTAAAAACCAGTGCGTATTTAAGTTTTCTCAAGGTTTGGTTCCAGCCTTTTTTTCCTCTTCTTCTTCTCCTCCTCTTTTTGAACTTCGTTTTCTGCGTTCTGAAGCAGAACCCTTTTTTCCGTTTTCCTTTCTTTCGTTTGTGTTGATATAGTTACATTTTATGGGTTTGGGCCCATTTTGTGAATCCTTATTCTTTTTTTTTTTGTTTATTTGTTTTTTTATAGTTAGTTTCTTATATTATTATTACTATTATTATGCTAATGACCAATACACTCTTATAAAAAAATATAGGGTATTACATAGGGTCTCCACTCCCTAGTTGATTTTATTTTAGACATAGGGTCTCCACTCCCTAGTCGCATTTCCCAACGTAGAGTCTCCACTCACTAGTTGATTTTTTTTAGACATAGGGTCTCCACTCCCTAGTCGTTTTTCTAACATAGGATCTCCACTCCCTAGATGCTTTTATTTTAAACATAGGGCCTCCAGTCCCTAATCTCTGTTTTCTAAAGGTACACCAATCCCGACTTTTATTGCTTTCAATAAATAAATTAGCATAGAGTTTTGTTACAATTAACTCACGAACTTTTCCTAGTAAAACTAAGGCAGAAAAATATTGTTCGTTCGTTTATTTTGGTGTCTGAGCAGGTTTTTACCTCGAGGCACGGGTTCGAGATGACCAAAAGAAGTCTCAATCAAAAAATAAAGAAATGAAATGGAAATGAAGTGAATCTAAAGTGCAAAAGCGGAGAAAAAATGTGTACTGCTCAAGACATGATTGAAGTCACAAGCTTTGCATGTCCCGTCTTGATCCAAAAAAAGCCAAAGAAGAATGAACTAGCACCTACAGATAGCAAGCATCGAGGTTCCGATCAGAGTCTGCATGAAGAACCAGCCAAGACTCAAGATCAAGTTTCAGAAGACTTAGAGATAGGAACCTTGTAACTCATAGCTTATAGGCTTGTTTAGTTTCTTTTCATTTTGATTTTGGTATAATAAGGAGTTCAGCAAGCAGTAGCAGCAGCAGCAACAATGAAATCACAGCTTTCCGGTAGTTCCAGCTACCAAAACTTCCAGAACTACACCGACCTGATTCCTTCATAGCCAAGGATATGTAGGCAACCTTCGAAACAATGTTCGGTCAGACTTTTCCAAAATGCTTCTAAATGGAGTGTTAAACGGGCAAAAATTGCTCATAATTGCTTACTTTATCTTTTCTCAAAAACTCTTCATATTTTCGAGCAAAGAGGGGCAGCTGTGAGCACGTATTTTTTTCCCGATAAAAATACTCCTACAAAATTCACAAAAAAATAACTATTTCTATCTGTTTTTAATGTTATAGACTTTTAGGAATTCCTTTTTAATTGTTTGTTTGCATTTAGTTGCTTTTTTGTGCATTTTTAATATTTTAAAGTCATAAAAAGTACCAAAAAATATTTAATTCTTCATCGCATAGCATGTAGATTTTAACCGAATTTAGGATTTAAATATGTCAATTAAGTGCATCAATTGAAAATCACAAAATACATGGGTCATGTTTACATTTTAGTTTTTAGTTTTAAGGCTAATTTTACAAAATAATTCAAGAATCTAATTTAGAATTTTATTTAGTTTGTTTAGGATCTTAAACTCAATTAGAGTGGCTTAAACCAGACTGGGCCAACATTTGAACCGCCCAATTGCCAAATACCCACCCCAGCCCAAAAGAAAACCGGTCCAACCCCACTTTTACAAGCCAAACGACCCCGTTTCTAAGCCCGTTAATCTCAGCCTTTGTATCGAGTATAATCTAATGGTTGGGAACTGATCCCCAAATTCCTTAAGAGTGTCCGAAATCCCCCCCCCCCTCCGACCAAACCATAGAGACTTCCCACAAACTCATCTCCCTCACCTCTCTCTCACCCCAGCTGTCTCCGCCGCCGAAAATCGCTTACGGCGGCGGCACTACTCCAATCGCACCCAAATTTTCACCAGACAATCCTCAGCCTTTCCCCATAACTAATCCCCCGTTAATTTTCCAAAATCCTCACCAAGGTCGTCGAATTTTAAATCTACGATTACAGAAAACCTAAGGCTATCTCTTTTTAATCTATTTGTTTACTCGTTTCGGCTTGAACTTACGTGAATCAATTGCTCTTAACATGAGCAGTCGATTCACATTAGTTTGAGCGCATTTCGAGGTCGCTGAGGTCTAAGTCTTCACACCCTTTGCCAGGCAGCCATTCATTTCTTTAAGGGTAACCGCTTTCTTTTTTATTATTTAGTTTAATCTTGCATTTAGTAGTAATTCTATGTTGAATGTTCATTTTAGGTTAATTAGTTCATTACATAATCATGATTAGTTTCAATTTTTGTTTATTAGTTTAAAATGCATAAGTTTAATGATTTGTTTGTTGCAGTAGATTTTGTTCAAATCTGTATGTTTTTAGTTTGGTGTGGTTATTCGACACAATTGGAACTTTAGGGAGTGAAAGGATAATAACAGAAGTTAAAGGGGTCGAAAGGAATTTGGGAAATTATGAATCTTAGGTGTTTGTTCAGGAAGCTTCTAGAAAAGGTCAAAATACAATAAAGACTAATAAAATTAGGTCAGATTTGGGTAAAAGAGGGTTAATTTCAGAAGTTAATGGGGCTGAAAAATGTAGGGGAATATCTGAATTGGACAGCTATCCATTTTCAATTTTAAAAAATGCCTTATCCCTTAAAATCAGCTGACATATTGCCTTATATTCCCTCCCTTTTTTCCCTCACATGACACCTCTCTTACATTATATAAAAGAGAGAAAAATCCTGGCAATAGGCAGACCGTTATTCTCTGAGAAATTCAGGATCTGCTCTTCATTTTTTGCATTAGTTTTTGACACTGATTCCCTCACACACACTGATCACACACAAAAAATTCACTCAGCACTCTTACGTGATAAGTTGAACAAACGTTTAACCGAATAAAACTCTGCAAATTTGAACAGCCAGCTTTTCCCCAGGTCTGCTTAAGGTGTTAGAGGGTTTTCAACGAACCAGCACCTTACGCAGAAATTCAAGATGAATTGCCTATTTTTGTTTCACTTTCGCTGTAGGAGAGGAGTGTTTAGGAGATGCTGAACACACGCTTACATTTGCTTCTTTTGAGTTGTGAATACGGCTATCAGCACAGCCTTTGTGCTGAAAATTATTGAACTATTACCTGCTTAAAAAGGCTGTGGTCAGGGGGTTTTCCCCCTCATTGGTCACTAAGCCCAGATATTCAGTCTTAAAATGCTCTGATAAACGCATTTGGGAAGCTAGGCAAGGTAAACAAATGAATGTAAAATCTTAGTGAAAGCATTGGACCGCAAATGTATTCTTTTCTTGTTTTCTTTCTCTTTCTGTCACAACGCGAGGCCTTATAAGATGCTATTGACTTTAACCGTCTCTTAATCTTCTTGGATCCTATTAAACATTTAAGCGCAATTATAGGTCATCTGGTTAGTAGCTGTGATGGTTTTCAATGTTCATATCCAAATGATTGTTTGCTTAGAAATAGTCTTCAAGGTTCGTTTATTTTCCTTGTTTATGGTGAAATGATTCTTGTTAAGCAGACCTATGGTTCTATGCATGTTGACGCAGTTCCTCTTCTTGTTGCAGAGGGATGAACTACAAAAGTGTATGAGCACTTCGTAGGTTTAGATGTCATTATTCTCTGCTTGTCGATGCTCAACTCAGGGGCGGCCCTTCCATAAAGCAAGTAAAGCAACTGCTTTTTAAAAAAAAAAAAAATCGAAGTGAAAAAGTTTGATTTCTTTCTTTAACAAATATAGATAAGAAGGATATGCAACTGCTATGATTTCTGCCAAGGAAATTGCACTTTGACCACAATACATGTGTTTTTAAGGTATAAATTATTTTTCTAAGCAGCAAAAAGAATAAGAAATAAATGTTGAACCACCCTTGATACAAGCTGAGGCCTGGTGTAGTGGTTGAAGTGGCTTCATCTATAGTGGTAGGTCTAGGTATCGAATGTAGCCTAGTCCATCCATTAACAGTTCTTTAATTTTTCCAAAAATCAGTAGATTTAAAAGACCCATGTAGGCTACTTTAACGTTTCTTCGGGAGATTTATTTAAATTGATTTGTTTTTTTTTAATTTTATTTTTGATAAGAGTATTCTTCTATCTCAATTTTACATTTGTTTATTTGAAATCTTTTTAAATATTTTAAAGTATTCCACTTGCTTCTTTCTCGTGGTCAACCAAACATTGATTTTTCCATTTATCATTATCTGTTTTAATTTAGAATATTTTTATAGTTCTAAAATTCTTATATTTTAAAATTATTAATGTAGTTTAGCATAGAGTTATCTTCTATTTGTTATTGTCCGCAATAATTAGCTAGTTAAAATAAAAATTTAGAGTTTGCTAACTTGTAAAATTTAACAAATAAGTCGAATTTAGTACTTTGATATCGATTAAATTGATCTTTGTTAAATAAGATTATTAAAAATTTGTTAAGTTTAATGAATTGTTAAAGTTAAGAAAGTAAACAAAAAGCTGTTAAAACTTATTTTTATAATTTATAGTATGTTTTTAAAGGGCAGCCTTAGAATAGGAAAAAGGGAAAAAAAAAGTTGGGGAGCAAATCATTTTTTTGAACCCAAACAAAAACGGAAGGTATGCTCCATTTGGTAAGCCTGATATTGCATATACTATCGGATGAAGTTGAGCATTTAATCCTTTTCTGAACCCGCTTGTATAAATTCCTGGGTCCGCCGCTGTGCGTGCACAATATAAACCATCTGAGGAAATGCTGAAAAAGATCCGAAGGCAATGTACTCGAGAGATGGACTATGAATCTGACAATCGGGTGGAATCCTGGGCCAAACAGTTCGACATCTGAATGGGCACAGAGAACCATCGGAACATGCTGTTTAATCTTGAATAAAGTACTGAATATGCCGGATTGATGTTGCTGCACTGACTCTGGGATCACTTGCACAGTCTACCGTACTAATATGTTGGCCCCTTTTAGTTTGTTAATGGGGACCATTTTGCTAACGACTTGATAGATGGTTGATTAAATATCATTGCTTGTAGCAATTTAAAACTTTCCTAGGGTCTCTTTTCCTCTTCTTAAGGCCAGCTGAATTTATCAGCTTGTATCTAACTTGTGAATATTCAAACCAACAAAATGAGGCCAATTCACAATTGTACAGAAGAAACAAGTAGACTAAAATAATTAAAATGCCATAGCTGAGATGAGGTGACTATTCTCCTGCATTAATCAGATCATCTCTGCGCTGCTGGCACTTTTTGTCTCCAGTATTTCCCTCTTCTTTCTTAGTGTGCCCTATTGTTCATGAGCAGGGGCAGCCTTCTGAAAATAGACAAGATTATTAAAGCACTGCACTCAATTTCTACAACTTCCGTTTTGCTTGAGAAGGGGCCAAATTTGGAGTTATATGGCTTTTTCTGGAAAAAGTTTTGAGGTAAATATTGAGAGCGCAAATTTAACCTCAATTATAAGTCAAAGTGCACGTGTAGGTCTGACTACTAATTTTGCGTAAGAACACTTCGTTAAAAATGGAATGCTGCAGGTTCATTCCATTATATGTAGTGAAACATATTTTTTTTAACTATGTAGGTAAAGTTGCTGCGATGTGACCAGGAGGTCACAGTTCGAGCCGTGGAAACAGCCTCTTGCAGAAATGCAGGGTAAGACTGCGTATAATAGACCCTTGTGGTCCAGCCCATCCACCCCGCGCATAGCTGAAGCTTAGTGCACCGGGCTGCACTTTAATTATACATAGGGGTAGGGGAAGTGGAAATGGTGGAGGGGATTACAAGGTGCGGAACCGAACCCCCACCAAGAAGGTTTACATTTAGATAGCCGACCAACTGAACTATTAGATTCCTTACATAATGAAACTAGACTGCTAAGAAAAGAATAAAAATGTTTGATTTTTGTGTTAAACTGCTGGTAGTAGAAGAGTATCTTGAAGCAGGACTAAAGTTTGAAAGCTGATTCTTTTTATATGGTTACACCACATTACGGTAAACATTTAAAATTATAAATGAAGTCAAATCTTTTGAAGTTGTTGTGTACTAGTAGCTTTTATTCTTGAAGTGTTCAAATATTTTTGTGTGACCCAAATTAAGTTATGATCATGTTACTGGGATGAGGACAGTAGTAGATACACTTGAACAGACAGAAAAAAAGGAAGAATGAGGTTAGATGGTTCTTTGAGGACTAACCCGCTTTTGCTCTTCCATCCTTGCCTTTATTAAAGAGTAGATAGCAACACCTGCAATGGCTATTGCAGTACCAATCCCAGTTTGAGTTGATATTTTGTTTCCTGCAAAGTTTTGAAACAGTTAAGCAGAGAACAAATTAACATACAGAATCAGGAATCTGGATAATGATCAAGGTCATGAAGCACAGTATTGAAAGTTAGTTGTACAATGCACCAGTAGCTTTTATGCACTGCAGCAGAAATGTAACAGACTCTCTTAGCCCTGAGAGGGAACTTTGGCAACCAAAGTAGAAAAGAACTCTTCAACGAGGACTCAATAGCTTGCGGGAAGCTTGGACTTCGAAAGTTCTTGATTGATACTATCAGGAAAGTTAATCAAAAATCTTAGTATCAGGCAAAGTTTACTTATCCTCTAATTTTATGTTGCAGACAAGACACACACTTCAATTGTAGTCATATGGAGTATCAAGAACTCATAATTCATTCGTTTGACATTTATAAAAACACATGTATTGTGGTGAAAGCATATTAGAGCATACGCTTACCAAATACCACAATAGAGAAACCAATCACAAAAACTCGCTTCAGTACGTTTCCAACAGCATGTGTAAGTGGCGCAACCCGCTCTAATGTGTTGGTAGCTACCTGCAAAGGTCAAAAATTATGTAAATTTTATGAAATTAAAGGAAATAACCAGAAAAACTTGAAATATGAAAAGATTATAAACTCTACTAAAACCCTAATGCATTGATTTTTCATATACGCGATTCATACCTGGTTATACAGATGATAGAACATCCCTATCCAAAAGAGGTCAGATAAGAACTTATAAAGGCCTACTTTAGTGATGGCATCCCTGAAACCATACTGCATTAGTTGGGGTCCTTCAATCTGACATCGCATATTGCTGGCTTCAATTAGTTCTATCTTCATAATATACTGAGCAAGCAGGTTAAAGCATCTCTGAGCAAAGCAAACTTACAAATATGGCTGGAGGGAGGCAAAACAGGAGGGCCGTGATTGAAATATATGCGTATACATTTGTGCTATCCATTCCAGTCTGTGAAAAACAACATACCAAGAAATGGAGATGAGTTTCAATATATTTTTGGATGTTAGTAAGCCTGCGTGTATATTTAGTCCAGCGTGAAGGTAATGCTGGCATAGTTCATCATATCAGAGCAGAGTAGTACTATATGGGGAAAATACTTACCATTGCTTTCTTTGAGTAGATACTTCTGTAAGTAAAAGCAATATTTGAGATCATTGCACTAGTGAAGCCAGTCCAATTGAATGACAGTTCAGTCAATGAAGCCATCGATACACCTAAAAAGATTCAGCCATCAGAATTTGAGACGGCTAGATTGGCCAGAAGAATGACAGTGTTGAGGATTTGTTCGGTCATTCAACTTACGTGGTTAATCTTCTAACTAAGTTTTTTTTCTATGGGATACTGTAAAAGTTGTTTTAAGTTTTGCATTTACAGCCAAGATTTTCTGTGGAGATATTGTTTGAGCAGCTGGTAAATGTTGGAACTAGTGGAATAAAAGAAAAACAATGCTATAAATGACACTTACCAATGACAACAGGGGCCAGTGATAACCACAGAGAGACAGGAATCTGGTGCCCCAAGACAAACTGAGAAGCAGCTGCACTGAAGAATGGCTCCAGAGCTATCCAACAACAATGACAAAATGTCAGTTTTTCCAGAATAAGTGTGTAATGAAGTATTCTGAACTGCTTTTTTATTTCTAAAACTAATTTCAGAAACCATATATTAGCCTTAACAACCACTATTGATGTAATGATGTCATATGAAGTACTTATTTGAACTGTAGAAATTGACAAGCATATGTTATTCAAAACGAAAAAATTAGCGAGCTAAAGTAGTGTCTCTCTTTGAGTTATTACCTTTGATGGTATGAGTGAAGGATACAGCAACAGTTGCAAATGATACATTAGACATAACATGTCCAAGAGCATGACAGAATGCTACTGGAGTGAGCAGTACCAGAAGTTCCTTATTGATGGGCTAATCATGTAAATTGACAAATGCAAGCAAGTTAAATAAAGCCAGCTGATGAGCATATTAACAAAATATATACAAATAATGCAGAAAAATGAAACTTACTGCACGTTTAGGTAGACCAATAGACCAACTAATAAGACAATAGGTAACTCCAACTAGGAGATGTACGACTGAAACAAAGCTGCAAAAGCATCAAGAAAATCATGTTTAAGAAGTTAACTCAAGGGGAGCTGGCATTTTCTTTATTTGCAAAACAGGACAATTGATTTAAGAGTCCCCAAAACAAGTAAATTAAAGCTGCTTACTATGGGTATGGGAAATAATTGTAGACCTTCTTGTTGAGTATATTGAAAATCACATTCAGAAAGTACCTGCATCAGAATACTTAATGATCAGATTCATTTGAACATGGGCATAAGAGCTTTTAGCTATCAGATAAGTGTAAAACCATATGTCCAGAATGAAACTCAAAATTACTTATTTTTACCTTTAGTTATCAGATAAGTGTAGAAGTATATGTCCAGAATGAAAACTTAACATACTCACAGTCAGTCAGTGAGAGAGTTAGAATTTTCACTGAGGGGAGTGAAAATATAAAAGAGCAAATCCTTGAAGAAGTCAAAGGGGAATGTTGTGAACCGGCATGACCACATAGATTATGGGCCAGAAGTGTGCAACAAGGCTGATCCAGTTAGTAGTATTGGGCCTGGAGTTAAATGGAGAAAAGGCCCAATGACTAAACACCTGCATTATATTTGGGATCCAGGCGGAATACAGGGCATGCCTATTCTTGAAGAAGAAAAATGTCTGCTTCTCTCATCTCCTTGCTTTGTGCCTAAGCTTCTCATCTCTCTTCTTCTATGGTGTATTTCTGTCCCCTCATCCCTCTCTGTTATCTCTCAATTATCCTTTACTGTTTCATTGTAATTTTCAGTATTTGTAAGTCCGTTCAGTGAATCAATATAGCTAGTTGGTTTGGTTGTTATTCGGTTTGTTACAGGGAATCAATATATATATACATAAAAAAATAAATTTTTACTTAGCTATACTGTGTAATTTTTCGGCGAAGAAAGAAAAAGAAAAAACAGAAAATTTACAGGTCAATCAACTTGGTTGTCCAAAAGTTACCATATAACTTACCAGGTGAAGAAAAAGAATCCAGTAACTAGAGCTGGAAACTTTTCGGCAAAGCCTTTAGTTGGTTTAGCATACCTGCTTACAGAATTGATAATCAGTTACTCCATACTACTGCAAAATTTTGGAAAAATACTGACAAATGAAGCTGAAAAAGAAAAAAAAAAAAAAAATCAAACCCATCAGTAATTTCAATGTCATGACCCTTTGCATCAGCAGCTGCAGCCTTTGTGATAAAAACATCAACAGTATTTCTTGGCTTCAGTAGTTGACTGTATTTAAATAATTTAAGGGGCTTACTGGACAACCCCACAGGTGAAAGTTCAAAGCTTTTGGAATCTGAAACAATTGAGAAACTTCTCAAAGGAACTAAATTAGTTAAATTTCTACTAGCAAGTTTGTGGGGTGAAGAAAAAATTGATCTTTGTAGAGAAAACTGAATGGAACTAGACATTGAAGCCATGATCAAAAGAGATGAAATTAAAACCAAAGATTTTATTGGAATAATGCAAAAACACCAAGAATTCAACAGAAAGTATATGAAATTTGTATAAAAAGAATCTTTGGATAAAACCAAAAAAAAAAAAGTGAAGCAAAGTACAACGTTGGAAACAAGGTTTGATTAGAACAAGAGCGAAGATGTCAATAAGAAAAAGAGGAAATAATTGATACTAGCTATTTTGAGAATTTCAGTTGGATGATTAATTAACAGAGAAAAAAGGGGGGGAAAGGGAAGAGGAAGATTATGTTTGATTCATATTAGGCCGTTATGTTCTCTTTTATATGAAAGCTCCTTTTGATGGTTACCTGTATCTATTTTGAGTATTTTCCTTTCTTTTTGTTAGTATTGATAATAACATTAATAATAAATAATAAATGAATAAATAATATATAATATAATATAATACTCCTCCCGTTTCAATTTATGTGAACTCATTTGATTGGGCACGGAGTTTAAAAAAAGAGAGAAGACTTTCGAACTTGTGGTGTAAAATGAGGCACAAATATTATAAATCATTGCATGAAGTTAAATTATTTTCAAATAAAGAAAGGGATCATTATTTTTGACACGAACGAAAAAGGAAATAGGTTTAAAAAGATTGAAACGGAGGAAGTGTAATGTAAAGTAACATAGCATACATAAGGTGATTATTAGAGATATTTAAAACAGAGGCTTATTATGTATATCACATAACTGACTAGTGATGTGAGAATTATATATCATATTAATTTTCTTCCCCAAGACATTTTAATATACTGTAAACCGTCTTATTTCATTTACTTTGAAGAGAACTAGCTGGTTTTAATATTTTTTTTTTAAAGATATATTTCCATTTTAATAGGTAATATTTAATAATACTTACTAAAAATTACAAGAGATTTCATGGAAAAGCTTCCTTTAGAAAACCTGAAAATTATAACTCAGCAAGTAACTAAACAAATCATTTAGGCAAATGTCTTCAAGGATTTTCGAACTTTTCTTCCCTCAACCCTCTTTTCTACACATTTTATTAAAATAATGGATTGAAAAAGAAAAGAAAAATAAAAAAGCCACGTAAAGCCAAAAATGCCTATTTTCTTGGTGATGATTTAGGACAACTCTTTACTGTTTTATAAGTTACTCCCTCTATTCCCCTGTTTGACTGGGTCCAGAGTTTAAGAAAGAATGACGACTTTTGAAATTTGTGATTCTAAACAAGTCAAAAAGAGAATCTGAGTATTTATGTGGTTATAAAAACTTCTCATTAATGGTAGAATTGTAAGTTTAAGTTAAATTGTTACTAAATTTAGAAAGGGTCATTCTTTTTTGAATGGACCAAAAATAAAATAGGTTCACACAAACTGAAACAGAGGGAGTATAAATTTAGAATGATGTACATATGACCTTTGGATGGTACTTTGGTCATGGAATCAGAAAAGAAGCTTTTGTGATATCCTTCTTTGTTCTTTTTTTAATTTGTTCTTTTAATTTCTCTTTATTATTCTATTAATAATAAGAGAATTTGTTTTGACGTATAACGTTTCAACCAAAGAAAAAAGGCATGGCGCATGGGTGGGGGGAGATGGACTGCTTCTTGATCTCGTCACCATTCAATAATGGCAAATAATGAAATAAAGTTTACTATCTGTTTATTTTCTAATCTGACAATATAAATTTTATAGTGTTTGACGTGCAATATTTTAAGAGAATTTTAATTAAGACACTTCAATTTGGGCTAGCTTTGTTAGCTACTCATATCAGACTATTGTTATAATATAAACAACAAATAAATGCTTTTCAAATTAAAAAAAAATGTGTTGTTAAGTTGTATTTCTTCACTATAAGTTGTTACTATTTGCTTTGCAGAAAAACAACAATCTTCTAATATTGTTGTCTCCTTCAAAAAGTCTATATTTTCCAAAATCGTGCACTTGAAAATCAGAAGTGTTCTTACAAATTAATAGGCTTGTCATATTTACTAAAATTATTTATATATAATCTCATAGCAATCTCGTAAAAGAGATGTCGCAAATATCACTTTTGGATTTAATGTGTTTCAAGTCAATTTATTTGGGTTCTCATTTATATTTTCCAACAACTCATCCTTCCAGATATATGATATATATGTCAACTCCACTTTTAAAATGTACGTATAATTAAAGTGATACTCTATCTATTTTAACTTTTATGTTGGTATTTAAATGGACACGATGTTTATGATGTTTGACTTTTATGATATGGTAACAGAAGAGAATTATTAAAATAATAGTTGAAAAGAGAGCAAACATCTCATTAAAGTTAAAGACTGAATAACTTATTAAGTTGAAGTTTTGAAATTTGTATATGTTAGAAGTCTAACATAATAAACTGCTAGCTAGATAAGTCAATAATAAAAGAGTATATAATAGGCAAAATACATAGTTTACCTATCAACCTTGCGAAATTTTTGTTATACATTTTTTTTTACGGGAAACCTTTTACACACTTAATCTTTTAAAAGTGTGTCTAAGACACATTATGTTTGACCTGATAACACTTGCGTGTTTAGACACAAAAAAAAAGCGTGTGAAGCCCGTAAAAAAATCCCATTTTTTGTCTCCCTTCCCCACAGGATCCCCTCTCTCTCCCTCTGGCCTTCTTCCTCACCTCCCTCCCCCTTATTTTCTTCCCCAAATAGAATGTTTGAAAGAACATATCAACTTAGATCTAAAATTGAGCGGATTTTGTCGGTTTATTGTCCAAATATTGGAATAACTATTTAATTGTGATAGAATTAAAAGTTTTAACAGTAGTATTGAAGGTTTGGTGAAAAAATCTAGAATCCACCATTGTTGGGGTATCGAAAAAAGCTTGAAAATTCGATTGGGTCTAGTTGATTATTGGGTTATTGAACTCAATTTATTGCTCGATTATTTTCGACTAGTTGTAGATCGTGTGGTTGAATTTTAGTGTTGTTGGAAACTTTCTCACAAATAACCATGGTGGTAGCAACAATAGTGTTTAAGATAGAAAATGGAAAGATGAAGAAGATGGATTTTAACTTTAATTTCTAATATTCTTTTCCTTTTAAAAGTCAAAGATACGTGTCACGACCCTATTAGGGCGTGAGTTTCACATTATCTGAAAAATTGGTCAAGCACAAAAGTGGTGTGTCTTAGACACACTTTTGAAAGGTTGAGTGTGTAAAAATTTTCCCGTGAAAGAGAGGTGTGTAATAGGGATTTCGCTACAGGGTTGATGGGTAAACTATGTATTTTGCCTACATAATAACTAAAAAATTACGAAAGACTGTGTACCTATGATGTTTGACCATAATTTTATATTGTTAGCACTTTACTTGCCATACATTTTGTTAGTTTAGTGATTAATTGTGCGATATTTGAAGTAATTATGTTATTTTTTGTCTAGGATCATAGGAAGACAAAGACGAGTGAAGGTTGCACAAAAATATGATAAAATACAAGAAAAAAGCATGAAAGCACGTTGAACCTATGCCTGGCGCCAGACCAGGCGTCGCCATCTCCTCCGGGAGCAGTTGCAATTGAGTCGGAAGATGGAGCTCAAAAGTCCACAATCATGGGCAAAAGTTGAAATACTACCTTAGCACGGACAATGAGGAAAAAGTTATTCCGGTGATTTATTGAAGGAACCCCTATGTGTAGAGTGGCCTTGATCATAGTTGACTACATCGTGCCACGACGTTAAATCAGGCACTTCATTGGAGAAAATCTGTTGTGATGTTGTATTCATCATGTCATGACATTAAATAAGGCGCTTGTTGGGAGGCAACCCAACTCTTAGAGTAGTTTCATTTTTGTTTTTTATTTTAGGGACTAAGGAGTTTATGTTGAATGATTTTAGGTTGGCTGATTAGGTACGGGCACGCGAAAATTGAAAGTAAGTGACCGGGAGTCAAAAATTAAGGAAAACAACACTACACTGCGCCCCGGAGTGTGCCAGGCAAAGGACCCAGCTTGCAATAGCTTGGGCGTTGCGAGCTTTATCGCTTGCCTGTCCTCGCAACCAAGTAGGTGGCGCGAGCTCAAAGGCGAGCTCTGGCACGCACCCTGCCTCGCGTCACCTATCCCCAAGAGCGCCTCAACCGACGCGTCGCCTGGTCTATCGCGAGTCCCACCTTGCGGCGCCAGGTAAGATTTTTTTTCCTTTTCTTCTTCTTTTCCTTTTAAAATTGAAACACACACGCACACAACAAATTAAAACGCCCAGCCCCCAAAACAAAACCCCTCAGCCTCTCTCCCTCTAAACTAAAAATCTCCCAACTCCTCCCTAAACACTCTCTCTCTACTCAAGAACAACACTACCTCCCCCCCTCTTCTCCCTCCAACTCACCCGAAATTCCCCAACTCCCCCCTCACACAATCATTCACGTAATTTCACTATTAATTGAAGATCACTCTATCTCAAACATCTAAGGTATGATTTTTACTCTCCCCTTAATCTCGAATTAGTTGGAGTAATGAACTCTTGCAACCTTTGGGAATGTTCTTCATGGTAACAATGTGTATGTTTGTCCCAACCCCATGAACCCTATGGGATTGGTATTTGTTGTTGTTTAAACGAGTGTTCGCACCCAGTTCCCAAGTCGATTTGAGAGGGTGATACAATCTCTCACCTACACAAGGACCCCCACGGCACTAGTGCAGACCATGTGTTTTTCAAAATACCGCAAAGGCATTCTTTATCGCCATTGGAGCATGAGCCTCCAGGACTGTTACACGAGTGCTATATTGTCATACGTCCCTAGATATTTTAAGTGTGCGGTGGATCATTGGAGCCAAGAATGGTGGTTAAATGTATAGAAATTGTATTATACATCTTTGTGACATTGATTAAATGGAAGATACAAGCCTGCTTAAAATAAAGGGGGTAAAGTCTAAGTAGGACCAATTTTGTTGAACACCATGTGCTAAACTTTTAAGTGTGGGGTCATACTACTATGTTTGAATTGATTCAATTCCCTCTAAAGTTGACTAACATCCACTTGTGAAGGTATGAAAATGGTCTGAAACTAAATGCACCACCAACTAACAAAGGAAAGGGCAAAGCTGTTGCTCCAGCTAAAGGCAAGACTTCCTTTGCACAGCCACCGATGAAGCGGAATGGATGATAGTCCACTTTGAATTAGGCTTAGGGATTATAGGCAGTTGCATCCATGGAAGCCTCATGCCCAAGGCCTCAGAGACAGCGTGAATATGGTATTAAGAGTATACCCACATCCGCCAAGGACAAGATTTGTCGGCCTAAGCATATGCACCCTGATTTAGCTGTTGATGAGTGTCAT